GAGTAGCCAACAAAAGGTCCCCACCCCAGCATCACATTGTAGAAAGAAGAATAGCTTTAGCATTAAGAAAAGGAATAGCACAATAACTGATACAGTTGTCTTTTTTATCATTGCTATTATGAAATTCTCGTTAAAATCTGAGAGTTTTGATTTCATTATATAATAACATATGCTTTTAAAAATTGACTTTGATGCACATTATTTGTATATATTTCTATCAGTCTTACTATTTTATGCTTTTTAGTTATACTAAACACTTACATAAAAAAGAAACATTGTATTTTTCTCAGCTCTTTTTAACCTGTTCTCAAGCTCCCTCTGGAATTGTCCACTTGAGGGAAAGTGACAGGAGTGTTTCATATCCATGTCCACATCTGTGCACTTCTCCATAGTGAAGGCCAAGGTGACTGACTGGGCTGTGACATTTGTCAAGTTTGTCAAGAAATGAGTGAGCAGTACGCTTAGATGTAAGCTGCTCCTCTCTTATCCATGAAAGAATCTATTTATGTATGTGTATTGTTATCAGATGACTAGTTCAAGCAATGATTCCTTTTTACTTTAATACCATATGCATTGGTTATATTTCAATTAGAAGCATGTTATTCAAATTAAAGTACTAAGAAAATGCTTTCTTTGTCACTATTTATATGTCAGAAAAAAATAGTTATGCCTATTCAAATCACTAGTGAAAATTTCTATGAAATATAGAAAAATATTTTTCGTTTGAAATTTAGAAAACTGCACTCATGGTATGTTATTAGGAAAGTTATTAGGCTCATATTGAGAGTGGCATTTGAGGAAAACTTGAAATTTGAGACTTTCTCTTAGGTATAATTTGTTCACAAGCAACTAAAAAGCATACTAAGTAAGAAACGTTTAAATAAGGGTGTTGAGAAAAATTGCTTCCTAAGGGAAAGATCAGCTCAATTTAATTTATCCATTTCAATTTTAATTGTTGGTGGGTTTAGTTGTTTGTAAGTGGGATCCTAAATTAAATTTCTAAATAGTTTTAAAGCAGTCCATATATCTAAGGGAATGGGTAAGAAGAAGTCCTTTGCAATTGTATACTATCTTGATTCCATTCTGTGAACACTTGAAACTTGAAGAAATGTCTATGACAGTATATTTTTAATTTAAAAAACTTTAGGCCAGTTATGATGACTCACCCCTGTAATCCCAATACTTTGGGAGGCAGAGGTGGGAAGATAACTTGATACTGGGAGTTCCGGACCAGGCTAGAAAATATAGGAAAACAGTGTCTCTCCAAAATTTTAAAAATCAGCAAAGCAATGTGGCACATACTATATAGTCCTAGCTGCTTGGAAGGATGAGGCAGGGGAATTGTTTGAGGCCAGGAATTTATAAGATTACAGAGAGCTATGATCACAGCATCACACTCCAGCCTGGGTGACAGAGCAAGATCCTGTGTCTTAAAAAAATAAAACATAAAAATAATGTTTTAGAAAAGTAAAATGTTTTAACAACAATAAATAGGTGATGGGGAGGAAGGCAGCAAATCACACTGCCATGTGTATACCTATGCAACAATCTTACACCTTCTTCACATGTACCCCAAAACCTAAAATGCAATTAAAAAAAAAGATATAAAGAAAAGTTTACAAGAAAAATATATAGCCCAGTGAATAACATAAAGCAATCATTTGTGGTATCTCCACCAAGGTAAAAAATTGGACACTGCCATCTATAGTAGGAAACCTCCACGATAGACCTCAACAACACCTACCCCCTGTTAGTCATACTGTGAGTTTAGGAACTTGTTCTAAAAAATGAAATGAAGCAGAAATAATCAGATGGACCTTGTGTGATTAGGTAATAAAAAAGACAATGACTTCCCTTATGGTGTTCTCTCTGGTTCTCCCTTAAGTCATTCAGGCTGGGGAAAGCCAGTTGCAATGTTATAAGGTAGCCTTGGAAAGAGACACTCATAAGTGACTTTAGAAGTGGATTCTTTAGAGATCTGCCAAAACTGCATCAGTGAGTTTGGAAGAAGATATTTTAGCTCCATTGATGCTCCAGATGACTGCCATCCAAATACCTAATTTCAACCTCATGAAAGACCTTGAGTCACAGGTGTCCAGATTAATTGTGCCTGATTCTTGACCCACAGAAATTGATGTAATAAATATTTGTAATTTTCCCAAAGTGCTGGTATTACAGGCATGAACCACCATGCCTGGCCTTGTTGTAGTCTTTTATAAATTCTGGATATAGACCTTCTTTTAGTTACATGTGTCTAAAACTATTTCAACCATTTTGGGAGACTTCTTGTATATTTCTCACATGGTATCTTTGATAATAGAGTTGTTTCTATTTTAATTTGTTTTCTGCCTATTTGCTGGTGTTAGAACTTTTGTGACTAATATAAGAAGTGTTTCCCTTTTCAGCAGTAAAGATGATATGCCCCTATGTTATCTTTTATAAACTTTGTTGTTCTACTTTTCATATTTAGATCTATTATCCACCAGGTCAGATTTCATTTTTACAATATGGATATACAGCTGACAAAAGATAATTTATTGAAAAGACAACATTTGCGGTGCAGCATTGTGGTACTAAATGTGTCATAAATCATGTGACTATATGTACAAGGTATGTTTCTGGACTCTTAATTCCAATTCAATGGCTTATATTTCTGTCCTGGTGCCAATACAACCTGTCTTCATTAGTATAGCAAGATGAATTCATTCTAGAGATCTGCTTCAAGGTATAGTGTCTATAGTCAAAAATACCATTTTATGCACTTAAAAATTTGTTGAGAGTAAATCCCACGTTGAGTGTTCTTATCACACACACACACAAAACAGAGATACAAGAAATTTCTGGAGATGATGGACATGTCTATTACCTTGATTATTATGACATTTTATGAGTGCACACATATGTGCAAATTCATCAAATTGTATATATTAAATGTTTGGTTTATCATATATTAATTATATTTCAAATAAAGATTGATAATAGAGCTTGCGTTTTGATACCTAACAGTCTAGGTTCTCCAATTTTGTAATTTCTTTTCAAAATTTAGTCAATTGCATTCCCATATTTATTCTTCAATCCATTTGTCAATTTTTCTTAAACAATACTGTTCAGAATTCTGGTTGAGATTGCATTGACTTTCTAAATCAGCTGCTAGAAATTGACATATTTGCAACAGTTAGTCTTCCAAGGCAAGAATATCACATATAAAGGATATCCCTGTGATTTTTAGACATTTTAATTTTTAGTCTTTGTGTTTTGGCCTCCAGCTCTGTGCAGCTTTGGAGTTCAGGGAATACACTGAGGATAAGACGAGCTATGTGTCTGAGCTCCCTGAAACCTCTAATTATTTCAATCCAGTCCCATGTGACCCTCAACCCCACAAAATTCTCTGCTTTTCCCTCTGTTCCCTAGCAGTTTGCCTATGCATGGGTTCGCTCAGTTGTCTCAGCGTTTGTCTCAAGCCTAGGACAAACAAATGCCTTCAAGAATGGCTGCATATCCTTATCTCACCTCCATAAATTTTTCCTTTGCTAGAATTTTACATTATATAGGTCTTGTGGCTTCTGTTTGTCTCTTATGCATTTAAATAAGTGATTTTATAATTTGTCCAGTTTTTGTAGTTGTTCTGGTCTGCCTTGAAAGGCTATGTCTTATCCAGAGGTGAAAATGAGGATTTATATTTGATTTAGGCCAGCAGCCAGAAGCACCAGAAATTAATGATCATCTGAATCCAGTTACCACTCAGGACGGTTATTTCTTATTTCTGAATTGGTTTTTCTTCCACTGTGCAGCCCTTTGGAGGTCCTAATTCAAATGATAGGGATTTGCCAGGGGCCTTCATCTAGCACAGACTTGAGTTTCTGTTCTTTGGCATTGCAAATGTATCCAAAGTTCTGATCAATTTGTCTCCAAAAGAATCTACAGATGCACCTAAACTTATGAGAGAAGTATGCGCAAATATTGGGTATACTTTTTGGCTTTCAATATCTTCCTGGATTTGGGCCCCCAAATTCTCAAAGCCTTTTTATGTCTGTAGTGTCCTGGAGTCATTCTTATACATTTTTCCTAAGCTTGTTTTCCCAGTAAGGAAACCTGATCACATTACCTAGTCAATATTTTTAAATGCAAAATCATAAGAGCTATTAATAAATTATTTTCACAAGAAAATGGAATAATATTTTGGACAAGGCAGGATAAAATAGTCTGATTTGGTTTAGCAACACTTCATTTTGTATATGTTGTTGTTTTAGTTTTTAAGCTTTTGGCTGCAATGCCAAAGATCTCTTCTGTAAATTCAAGTATTTGTAATGAATTTCTCACTTTTAAAAAATGGTAGCAAGCACACATCAAAATATAAGAGATAACCTCTATTTTATTTTTTTGAGGTCCTAACTAGAGCCTTTATCTTGCTGGTCTTCTGTCAGCTTAAAAAACTACTTGAATATTTTAGCCTTGTACACTCTAGCTGCTTTGCAATTATAAAACTCTCACACAAAAAATTTAAGGTATGCTCTTTAGGGACACAGTAATATTCCCTTTTACTGTCAATAATACCTCAGTCCAGAGAATACAGTTCTATGTTTTAATGTGTAAATATGAATTTATATATACCAGAACGAAAAAATCAAATCTATCATCCAAATATTTGTCATTCCCCTATTATTTCTGGGTATCACAATACTCTTGTTCACAATGTTTATATGTCTATTTCCTATATAATCACAACCTATGTATCAGGTGAAATTCCTTCAGCTCACCAGGAGATATATCATCACAAGTTGAACTAGCACATATTTTCAAAATATCACACATGTAGCCCTGTATTAGTTACCTATTGCTGTGTAAAAACTTAAAAAACTTGGCAGCTTAAACCACACACACTTATTATCTAAATATCTTAGGTCAAAAGTCCAGTCATGGTTTAACTGGATCCTCTATTTTAAGCCCTATTACAGGTTGTAATCAACCTGTCATCTGGGATGTAGTCATCTGAAGGTTACCTGGGGAAGAATCCACTTCCAGGCTCACATGGTTGATGGCAGGATTCAGTTCTTCACAAACTGCTGGACTGAGGGCCTTAGTTCCTCGCTGGTGGTTGGCCAGAGGCCACATTCAGTTTTTTGCACATAGGCCTTTCCAAGGTACCAGCTTGCTTTAAGAAAGCATGCAAACTGAAAAAGTAATAGAGAGAGTCTGCTATTAAGGGGAAAGTTAGAATCTTTTGTAACATAATCATGGAACTGACATCCCAGCACTTTTGCTATAGTCTATAGGTTACAAGCAAGTTTCTAGGTTCAGCCTACATGCTTAGAGAGGGGATTACATAAGGGCCTGAATGCAAAAAGTTGACATGAAGAGAATAACGGACAAAAAATTCATATACAACTGGAAATTAATTCTCTACATGATTAGTTATGTCTGATCAATCCTCCTGAAACAGACATTTGATCATATCACTATCCTTACTTAAAAATAATCATCAAAGATCCCTTTGCCTATAGCTACCCACAATCAGACCCCAATCTTCATTTTCAATTTATTTTCTAGTTTCTCTTACTGCTTCTCATATATTTCATTTTCTAGCCCATGTTGCTAGCTCAATTCATGAGGTGCTTGCTTTGCATGTTTGTTCATGTTGTTCTCTCTGACTGAAATAGTATATCCTTCTCTGGACACAAAGACAGGGTTTTGGCCAGGCCACCACGCCTGTAATCCCAGCACTTTGGGAGGCTAAGGTAGGCAGATCATGAGGTCAGGAGATCAAGAGCATACTGGCCAACATGGCGAAACCCTGTTTCTATTAAAAATACAAAACTTAGCTGGGCTCAGTGGCGTGTGCCTATCGTCTCAGCTACTGAGGAGGCTGAGGCTAGAGACTCACTTGAACCAGGGAGTTGAAGGTTATAATGAGCTGAGATCGCACCACTGTACTCCAGCCTGGCGACAGAGAAAGACTCTGTTAAAAAAAAAAAAAAAAAAAAAAAAAGAAAGAAAGCAAGAAAGCAAGAAAGAAAAGGTTTTTTTCTGGGAAAGAGAAAGGGTAGTGGAGGGCATATTATTTCTCTCTTCAAATACTTAAAAAGGTAGGGTCAAAAAAGTCACTGTGTGGAAGACTAAAAGGGCAGGAATTAAGGCACAATGAAGAGAAATCCTAAGAGCCATCAAGGCTGCCCATTATTGAAATAAATTGCCTCAAAATATGAGTTTTTCATTTAAAGTGTTCAAACAAATCATTTAAGCATGATGGGGATGAAGGGATTTCTGTCTTGAGCATGAATTAGAAGGAAGAGACTTCTAAGGCACCTTCCAACTGTTAAGATTGCATGAATTCATGATTTTATATAAGAAACCAAAACCATTATTATAACTTACAAAGATAAGAAAAAATGATTTACATAAAATTTAAAAATAAATTATATTTGATATTTTAAGCTGTGATTATTTTATATACTCAAGAATCTTCCTTCTTCAATATTTTCCCTATTTATGATTCATTATTATCACAATAAACTATAGAACTACCCCGCATTCCAAATTAGAAAATAAGTATGTTTGTGACCAATATGCACAAAAGTAAGGTTTTAATTGTTTAAGATGAGTTATGGTTCCATTTGAAAACTCATTTCCAACCAAGTATGTCCCTAAGAAATTATATAAAAGGAACTCAGTCTTTATTTTCACATACTCTTTCATCACTGTTCATTCTAAGTTTACTGATGAGGCCAATATTCAGAAAACTCTTTTTCTTGCTTTAGAAAAATTTACAGATAAAACAGCTGCCCATTCTCTTGTTTTCATTACTTCACTGGATAAGTTAGAACAAGTGGTTCTATTAATTATGCATGGAATCATTGCATTGGTAAAGAGACTTCTAAAACTATGCCTTCAGCTTTTTCAGAGATAAGACGGGTTGTGAGAGTAAAAGAGGGAGATCAAGGGAATTAGTGTTATCCGTTCCTTGTTTGAGCACCTGATTTAAAGTCCCTCCAGATGGTGTCTAGTGGAGAACAAATACATGGATGAAAACTGGCACACTTTTTTAAAAAGAAAAATGTTTGATGATTGTTTGTGGCTTACTTTATCTATACTACAAGATGACTGAGGGCAGGCAGCCTGCCTAATTCGGTTACATTGTGTGGCTCAGTAACCATCACATTCAGACGCACTTTTAAATAATTGTTTAATGAATCAGTAATTGAGTAAATAAGTATGTGAGACACAAACATGTCCCAGTGTGTGGATAGGCCTTGGAACTTCAGGTTCTGCTGACGTGTCTATTATGCATCCTAGGATCATATATGACAAAAACAAGAAAACTTGAATAAGACTGAACGCCAGTGTATACTAACTCCTTATTGAGTAGAAATAAAATTAGGTGTAAGCCCATCTGTCCAGGCTGTTTCTATCAAATACATAGTGTTATTCAAGGCCAAATAAGGCAGACATAGTAGATTTGACTATTATGTAAATTTGGTGTTATGACCATGAGATGGAACACACTTGTGTAGATGAGAAGGATGCTATCTTTAAAAGAAATGAAAATTTCCATCCTATGAAGAAAATTCTGGGACCTATGGAAGTGGATTTTAGATTAAGGGAAGAAAATGTGTTCTACTCTTTCTGGAGCTTAGATTAGATATACATCAGGCTTTGTAATATGACAAGAGATTAATCGCTCTGGCCACAAGGAAACTAGTCAGCAGTAGGACAGGAAGCAAGCCAGTAAGGGGAATCTGACTGGTCTGCACCTGGCCAGTTGTTGAATGTAGTCACCTTGTAATGTACACCTTCTACTTCCTGAAATGTTCAGTAAACTATCATTAAAATTTGCAGCATGAACTCTGCCTTGTGTTTGGAAAGAAATGAACACTCTGAAGTGTGCTAGTCACAATAGCCAGGGCAGTAGTCAAAGGAGTGGTGACTCTGGTGGTCAGCAGTAACAGAATCAGCTTAGTGGACACATGATGTGCAAGGCCAGAGGAAAAAAAAAAAAAAAAAAAAAACTCTGACATTTAGACAGCAGCCATTTGTTAACCAGTTGCCTTGTCCATAAAATGGGGCAATAATACTGTCCTTGCTTCCCTCAACGAAAGTTATAAGTAAAATACTGAATTACTGTAATATGTTTTGAACACCTTGCAAGAAACACGATACATGAGCATATGATATCATGATTACCTCCATAATAAAAAGAAAATAAAATATTGAAAATAATCATATGTACTTTTTTAAAACCTGCAGTTGCATATGAAATATATAACCCCTTTTATTGTTTTCTGCCTAATACAATGCACCTGCATTAAAAGTATACCCCCATGGTTCAATTTTTAAAAATACATAAAATTTAGACAGGTACTTATTCTTTTATTCACCCCATTGTGCCTAAATTTCACAGAACATATTTTAAACAATATACTACCACAAAGAGACCACTTCAATACAAATCTCAATAGTGTGGGTTAATAAAAATTACTTTTAAAGGCAAACATCTGGCACCTCATAAATATATATCACCTTTCATCAAGAGTTGTTCAAACTCTCCCTGTATATGTTACACTTATAAGCATTATTAATTCAGCACATTGTACGATGGTTTTAGAGCAGTCCCAAAGCAGAATTACATGTGTAAAATATGTGCTGCAATATCTAGGGCCGTGGAGATCATAAAGAACAAGACATTAACCACAATGCTAAATCCCTTTGATTTAATGTTTTCTGTTAGCTAGCAGTGGTGACTTTTTAAACACAGATACAAGAAAATACTATAGTTAAGCTTAAGGGCAACCATTTGGTCTAATTTTTTCCCTCTCTTGACATTTAGCAAATTATTCCAGGCTTACATTTAGCTCATGTCAAAATGTGTCTTAAATATTTTACTGTAGTTTATTTGTACATCTGAAACAAATTTTAAAAGATGATTTGCCTTTACAAAGTCTGTATCCATAATGCCAAACTGATACTTCTTTTTTTCAGAAGATATTGAAAATAAAGAATATTCTGTAATGCCCTTTGGCTATTTTTCCTGTCATTAATGATCTTACTGTGAGATTTTTATTTGCTGTAGTTCAGTTTTTATTTTTCCATGTAAGTAAAGGCCAATTTTCTTGTTATATGTTTAATAAATATGGAAAAAGTACAATCAGTTTTATTGTTATATTTTATAGTAGCATATATATGTACATATGTTTATATATATATATATAATATTTTTATTTTGCCAGGTTTTTACTCTTTTAGCTGTTCCTGATTGGGGTTCGATATATTTCCTTGTATTTTCATATTTCTCTCTACCAATTTAAGAAATGAATACCACAAAATTCATGCATTTAAAGCTGAAGATTGTGAAGGTTTGAGGCCTGATCTGGCATAGATTAAAGAGACAGTCTGCCTTATTCATATAATAAGCCTGGCATTCTATCTAAAATTTATCATTATTCACATATACATTTAAATCCTATTGATTTCCATGCACTATCCTATGCAGTGAAGATACAAAGACAAACAAAACAGACAGCCTTCTTAACTGTACAGAACTCTACACATAAAAGAGAAATTAGAAAAGAATAAGTCAACAATTAAAACTGTAAAATATTTTAAGTTCTCTAAGGAAAGAAATACATCAGTGGCTGTGACCAAAAATTAAAAACTACCTTTCCTCATGTATGTCTTCTTTTGTAAAGTGTCTGTTCATATCCTTTGCCTACTTTTGAATGGGCTTGTTTGTTTTTTTCTTGTAAATCTGTTTTAGTCCTCTGTAAATTCTGGATATCAGCCCTTTGTCAGATAGGTAAACTGCAAAGATTTTTTTCCCATTCTGTTGGTTGCTGATTCACTCTAATGACTGTTTCTTTTGCCATGCAGAAGCTGTGGAGTTTGATTAGGTCCCATTTGTCTATTTTGGCTTTTTTTTTTTTTTTTTTTTTTTTTTTTGAGTCCGAGTTTCGCTCTTGTTACCCAGGCTGGAGTGCAATGGCTCAATCTCGGCTCACCACAACCTCCACCTCCTGGGTTCACGCAATTCTCCTGCCTCAGCCTCCTGAGTAGCTGCTATTTTGGCTTTTGTTGCCAATGCTTTTGGTGTTTTCGTCATGAAGTCCTTGCCTACACATATGTCCTGAATGGTTTTGCCTAGATTTTCTTCTAGGGTTTTCATGGTGTTAGGTCTTATGTTTAAGTTTTTAATCCATCTGGAGTTAATTTTAGTGTAAGGTGTCAGGAAGGAGTCCAGTTTCTGCTTTCTGCAAATGGCTAGCCAGTTTTCCCAAAAACATTTATTAAACAGGGAATCCTTTCCCCATTGCTTGTTTTTTTCAGGCTTGTCAAAGATCGGATGGTTGTAGATATGTTGTGTTGCCTCCGAGACCTCTGTTCTGTTCCATTGGTCTATATCTCTGTTTTGGTACCAGTACCATGCTGTTTTGATTACTGTAGCCTTGTAGTATAGTTTGAAGTCCAGTAGTGTGATGCCTCCCACTTTGTTCTTTTTGCTTAGAATTGACTTGGCTATGTGAGCTCTCTTTTGGTTCCATATGAAGTTTAAGGTGGTTTTTTCCAGTTCTGTGAAGAAGGTCATTGGTAGCTTGATGGGGATAGCTCATCATCACTGGTCATCAGAGAAATGCAAATCAAAACAACATTGAGATACCATCTCAGGCCAGTTAGAATGGCAATCATTAAAAAATCTGGAGATAACAGATGCTGGAGAGGATGTAGAGAAATAGGAACACTTTTACACTGTTGGTGGGAGTGTAAATTAGTGCAACCATTGTGGAAGACAGTGTGGCGATTCCTCGAGGACCTAGAAATAGAAATTCCATTTGACCCAACAATCCCATTACTGGGTATATATCCAAAGGATTACGAATCATTCTACTATAAGGATGCGTACACACGAATGTTCATTGCAGCACTGTTTACAATAGCAAAGACCTGAAAACAACCCAAAGCCCATCGATGATAGACTGGACAGGGAAAATGTGGCACATATACACCTTGGGATATTATGCAGCCATCAAAAATGATGAGTTTGTGTCCTTTGTAGGGACATGGATGAACTTGGAAATCATCATTCTCAGCAAACTGACAGAAGAGCAGAAGATCAAACACCGCATGTTCTCACTCATAGGCGGGTGTTGAACAATGAGAACACATGGACACAGGGAGGGGAGCACTACATACTGGGGTCAGTTGGGGGGAAATAGGGGAGGGACGGTGGGGGGTGGGGAGTTGGGGAGAGATAGCAAGGGGAGAGATGCCAGATGTAGGTGATGGGGAAGAAGGCAGCAAATCACACTGCCACGTGTGTATCTATGCAACAATCCTGCATATTCTTCACATGTACCCCAAAACCTAAAATGTAACAAAATAATAAATTAATTAATTAATTTAAAAAAAACTACATTTCTTTGAATAAGATACTCATATATAACCTAAGTATCTAATGCTAAATATGTAACGCTGATGGGTAGAAGAAACACATCCAACTTTTATCTTACAATCATATTAAAATGAATATCTAAATGTGCAAATAGAGAATATTCTGTGCTCATATTAGAAAACATGAAAGAATAACAGTTTTATTATCCTTAAGAACAAACCTTTTAAAGGTTCCATTTCACACTAAAAAAAGAATAATCTTAGAAAAATAACTGAAATTATTTGAAAGCTCAAAAGAGAGTAACTCAGATGATTAGTAAAAAAGGTTAGATTTTCTTATAAAACCCTAAAAATTTAGTAGAAAATAAATAAGTTTATAGGAGTCAAGGAGTCATATACAGAAACTTCAAGACAATCTTCTACAAAAGGAGGAACCTTACCTAACAATGATTTGCACTGACCATTGCATGTAAAGGAGCACCTTGCCTGGAAAGTAAGGAAAGAGATTTTAAAAGAATTCACTAGCAGCAATGGGTTGAAGACCAAATTCAGTATTAGAACACGAAGACAGCAATGTGTGATCCAGAGTCCTGTTAGGTCCCCATTATTGTTTGCCTTATGTGCCTAGAGTCCATTGCACTTGCTCACAGTGTATCCTTGAAATGACCCCTGCTAAATAATCCCCGCCATATTAAACACAAAAAGGTAATCTTTGATGCAGAAGGAAGCTTCTTGTTGAAAATCCTGTATAGCAGTGGTGCTATCTCTACAAACCTCCGGTAATGAAACTCTTAACTGGCAAGTAAAAAATACAGTATATGAGAACCTTATCCTTCTCCCTTCATTTAAGCTTGAAAGACTTGGTCTTGAAACCTCTTAAAGGTCCCATTTCACATTAAAAAAAGAATAATCTTAGAAAAATAACTGAAATTATTTGAAAGCTCAGAAGAGAGTACAGGTATTGATCGACTTACGGCCTATGCAACTTAGGACCATTCGACTTTACTACCACAATCATTAGCCACGAATGCTCTGCTGTAGATTTTTGGAAACACTACAACATTTTGATGTGTATCAAGAATATCGCTACCGCCTGGGAGGCTGTGACGACAAAGTGCATGAATGGCATCTGGAAAAATTGTGTTAAGTGCTATGTTAATGATTTTGACAGATTTGACAGTGAACATGAACTTGAAACGATTTGTGAAAAAATAGTAAAACTCGCTCAAGACCTTTCTTTGGAGTGTGAAATGGAAGATGTCGAAGAGTTGCTAGACAAAGAATCCGGAGAACTTGCAAATGAAGAGCTAATCAAACTAGAAGAAGAAAGAGTGGCAGAAGAAGAAAGAAGAGAAGCAGAGAAAGAAGAGGAGGAGCCAGAAAGCAAGTTCACCACTAACGGATTATCAGACGGTTTATCTTTACTGAATAAACTTCTTATACATTTCGAAGCAAGGGACCCAAACATCGAACAATTTGCAAGGACTGAATGGATGGCGCACGATGTGTTTCGTCCGTATCGTGAAATTTATGAAGAGAAAAAGAAACATATAATTCAGACAAAGCTCACCATGTTTATGAAGAAACCAACTCCGGTAACCCCAACTGCTGCCTCAGATGATGACATCAACAATCCGCAGCCAAGCACCAGCGGCCAATAAAATGTTTCGTACATGTTTACGTATTTTGATATGTTTTACAATTGGGAAAATGTTTCCTATGGTATTTTTTACACCTGTATTTTGTATTTTTGTATGGACCTGTATTTTGTAATTTTGTATGTTTTGCATATATTAAACCAGTTTTACTGGTAATGCAGTGCTTTACTTAAACCTGACGAATGTAAAAATAAGAAACAAAATGGGGTAGAGATGATACAAATGGCATAAAATGAACAAAGAAAATTATGATATATAACAATAATAAAAGAAAATTACGATAAAATATGATTTAAAGATTTTTATAACATCATTTCACAGTACTGTACATATAGCCTACTCACCTTACGACCAAATCGTGTTACGACCGGTCTGTCAGAACCAATCATGGTCGTAAGTCGAGCACTACCTGTAACTCAGATGATTAGTAAAAAAATGTTAGATTTTCTTATAAAACCCTACAAATTTAGTGCAAAATTAATAATTTTATAGGAGTCAAGGTACTAATGTAACTAATGAAACAGATAGCCAAAGGGAAAATTTGAGTCCAAAGAGATTACACAAAGAAAAACAATATAAGCAATAAGTTTAAAACCTAAATGAAGCAGAGATCAACCAAGAGAAGAGCAAGTACTAATGATCAACACCAATTTGACTGCTACTATGAGCCAGCAGCTTCCTAGACACTGCGGTTACAGCAATGAATAAAACAAAGTCCCTTTTATCAAGGAGTCCTCTTTTATGTCTACTGAAGAGATTATCACCATAAACAAAATGAACAATTAAACATCTGCTGCATTAGAAGATAAGTGCAATGAAAATCTATAAAAAAGATGAAGGAAAAGGAACAAACATGGTGATGAGGTTATAATTTTTGACTGAGTGGTCAAAGAAGATCTCATCTCACTGAGAAGGTAACACTAGGACTTGATACTGTAGAAGAGATAGTGTGTTACTTCTAAGTCATGGAAGACACTGTAGCTTCCATCTTGATTTCTTAGGTCACTCCTTCTGGAGATAGTCAGGTGTCAGGGCATGAAAACACTCAACCAGTCTATAAAGAGTCAATCATGGAGAGAAGGATATTTATGCATTCATAAAGGCCACCCAGGTAGATGCGACCCATGTTGTGTCTTGTATATGTTGTGGCTTTTATCTAATTCATGCATATCCCCAAAAGCTTCTGAGTTTCATTTATCATAGAAAATGCTCTTGCCTTCACAGAGTTTCTAGCACAGTGTTATAGCTGTATTACTTCAAAGTGTCAAACATTATTCTCGGAGCAGTAAGTTTAACTTTAAAACTCGGATCTAACAAAGTAACATGCATGTAAACAGTAATACAATTATGCTTTTAAGGTAATCCAAAATGCTAGGTCATGCTTTTCAAAATTTTCTTAAAAGAATGACACTGCATAACCAATAATGTGTATACAGGAAGGAAAGGGTGGTTTCACATGGATTAATTTAAAAATACTTCAATACATTAAAGGAAATATAAACAAACTGTGTCTTAGAAAAATGATAAAAAAAGGAAAAAACAAAGTGTCATCCTTAGAAAATTAAATATAGAATATTTAATCAACATGTAAAGGCCAGAAGGCCTATGGTAGCCACTTATCATATCACATTATTTTGAAAGTTCTTGTCAATTCTATGCATAACAGTAGAAATAATTTGTAAAAAAAAAAAAAAAGAAGAAAAAAAAGAACATGCTATTATCTACCTTAAAAATGCAAAAATGATCCAACTTAAAATTAAAAATATCATTTTGTATGAAGGCTGTAAAACAAATATGAGGAAATCAAAAGCTTTCCTGGATACTTAATGATGTACAAGATGTCAGTCACTATAGAAACCAAGGTCTAAAATGTATAAAAATAAATTGTATAGTTGGACCTCTGTGGGTCCATATCCATGGATTCAACCAACTACAGAGACAAAGTATTAAAAAAAAAAAAGAAAAATTGCATCATACTGAATATGTACATATGTTTCTTTATCATTATTCAAACAATAATTTATAAATAATCTAGAACTGATTAAAATTATATTGGGATTATGTACTTAAGTTAATATGCAAATATTCTCCATTTTATATAAGGGTATTGAGTGTCCATGGATTTTGATATCCATGGGGGTCTTGGAACCAACCTCCCATAGATCATAAGGGATGACTGTTTAAGAAATATTTATGGCCATGAGAAGTGGCTCACACATGTAATCCCAGAACTTTGGGAGGCCAAGGTAGGAAGATTACTTAAACCCAGAAGTTCGAAAACAATCTGGGCAGTATAATGAGCCCCTGCTTCTTAAAAACAATAAAAAATTTATCTGGGCATTGTGGCACGTGCCCATGGTCCAAGCTACTCAGGAGGCTGAGACAGGAGGATTGTGTGAGCGCAGGAGGTCAAAGCTGTAGCAAACCAAGATTGCACCACTGCACTCCAACCTGAAGAAAAGTAAATGAAACAAAACAAATGTTTATATAAAGAGTACCACAAAATTTTGCTAAGGAAGAAAAAATAGTTTAAAATTTAAGTAAAAGGAGAGGGACATGCCAGATTTCTGGATTAAAAGATGGGATGGTATAAATGTATTAATTTTCCTAAAATATCTGTAAACATAATGACATTTTAATAAATACATCAAAAGAATATATTTTAAACATGACAAAAATAATTTTAAGCTATAGGAAAAATAAATTGTATTATATTTCTGCCTTCACTCCTAAAAATTGTCATGTTTGAGGGAAGCATTTGGACTATATTATATACCTCACTGAAGAAGATGTCACATCTATACATGAACAGAAAACTAGTATGTGACTGTTGTTAACTGCATGTCTTGATAGGCAACGTTTACATACTAAATTTTTGCAGTTGTACTAATTAGGCAATCTGTGTTTCAAAACATAATGTCCATAAATGTATCTTTGTACTTCGAATAGCAAGTGAAAAGAAGATCTTCACCAAGTGTCAACTTCTAAGTTAATCCTTTGTAAACAGGAAGTAGGACAAACACTAATACACACTAAGGACTTCTGATTTTCTAGGTACTTTACATACATTTTGGAATTCAATCGACACCATGAGATAGATAAACCTTGAGAAAACTAAAACTCAGAGAAATGAAATACCAGTTATTCAACTACTTATTGGTAAATTCAGTCAATCTCAAGATTGTCTGGCTCTAAATTCAGACCCCTCCAATTTGCCATTTTTTAGTGGTTTTATTGCTTCTATCTTTTACGTCATTTTTTTAACATTCTTATTTCAAATACTATTATTTCTACTTTGATCATTCTCTTCATCGTATCTGTCAATTCTTACATTGGTTTACTCTCCATGCATCAGCAATTTTTGATTAGTTGAAATTCTATTTATTTACTGTATATCTGCCTATTATCTGTCTATATTAATTTATTATGCAGAAAACCCCAGAGTTGTGGAAATGTCGCTTCAGATATGTCTTTGGCTTGTTTTGTCAGGGACATTTAAAGAAGTTTAATAACTGTGGCACAATTTTTACGCTGAATTCTTGGCATGTTGTTCTCAAACCTTGCAGTGTATTTACATCATCATCTCACATTCACATTTAAGACAAACTTGGAATTTCAATTTCTGTTCAGTGGCATTTCCCCTTCAAAGATCCAAATCAAAACAACATTGAGATACCATCTCACGCCAGTTAGAATGGCGATCATTAAAAAATCTGGAGACAACAGATGCTGGAAAGGATGTGGAGAAATAGGAACACTTTTGCACTGTCGGTGGGAGTGTAAATTAGTTCAACCATTGTGGAAGACAGTGTGGCGATTCCTCGAGGACCTAGAAATAGAAATTCCATTTGACCCAGCAATCCCATTACTGGGTATATATCCAAAGGATTACAAATCGTTCTACTATAAGGACACGTGCACACGAATGTTCATTGCAGCACTGTTTACAATAGCAAAGACCTGGAACCAACCCAAATGCCCATCAACGATACACTGGATAGGGAAAATGTGGCACATATACACAATGGGATATTATTCAGCCATCAAAAACGATGAGTTTGGGTCCTTTGTAGGGACATGGATGAACCTGGAAACCATCATTCTCAGCAAACTGACAGAAGAGCAGAAGATCAAACACCGCATGTTCTCACTCATAGGCGGTTGTTGAACAATGAGAACACATGGACACAGGGAGGGGAGCACTACACACTGGG